AGGAAGCCAACTTGGGTATCTCTATTTATTGCCCTACTGTAGGCAGTATTTAATAGTGTTATTTGGTATTTCCCTAAGGCGTGCTTGGTGCTGTACAGCTGCTGGTACAGAGAGACGCTGCACAGACCAGTTTGCTATACAAACTCTAGGAACATACGCCAGGCTAACAAACCTAAGTAGATAGATGCAGGACAAGAGTTAATCCTTGGCAAAAACTACATGCTTTGTGCACTTAAGAAGCGCCTTCCACAGCAATAAGAAGCAAGAAACTTGTATCAGCCTGAGTTTTGTACAACAGAAAGCCTCACAGAAACAAGACCGCCCAAAGACCCAGGTCCCTGGGACCTTCAAAGGTCAGACAATCATATTTCCAAACAAAGGACTAAATAAAGGGGGGTTTGTTACAAATGCAACAGTATTCTACTACTTCGCCACACGGAAACAAATGTCCCAACAGACTGTCTGACACTGATAGCGTGCATATGAACTTTGTCATATTTATCTATTGTTTACAAACTTCATACACATGAATCACAAATGTCAGTGCAATTTGAAGCAGAGATCAATGAAAAAGTTTTTTCATACACCACCCAGAAAAAAGCCACACCCTCTGCCTTATTGAAGGAGTTCCACATTTTGCTTTTCTCCCGCAGATTCACAGAAGAGGCCCTGAGCAAAATTCTTTCTGTAAAGTCTGCTCATAAAATAGTTCTGTGAAAGCTTAGTGGCCACCACGTTTAAACTCCAAATCTAGGGCAAAGTGAGCTGCTAAATTCTTTAATAGAGAAGATCTCCATACTACAAATGAAGAGTACAATTTTCCTAGTACTATTTAAGTACAGTTTTGGTTCTTTGTTCCTCCATTCCCACTTCAAAGCACCGTAGGACATCAAACTGCATCATTAACACACCTTTTCCAAGTGTCTGTTCTCACATTTCATGGGCTAGCATGAAAAAATTGCTTCATTGTTTTTCTATTAAGCATTGTTATTTGAGGTACATTAAGTTAACATAAGTTCACCCAAGCAGACCAAGCCACCGAGGTAGCACAAATTACTTGTCACAAACTATCAAATCTGTTGTAAACTAACCTGAGAAACTATTTTCTCAACATGTCCAACTTCTCACTAGATGAGATACCAAGAAAGCAAATATTTTATGTTGGTGTTTCAGCTCTTCTAATTTCAAGAGAAACAGACTGCACACTGAGAGACACTCACTCATTTTTCCAGGAGGGGGAGAGGGGAAGAAGGAGAGAGGCACCATCTTTACCAAGTGACACATGGACTAAGGATCTACAAAAGCGCATTTGTGCCACTTAACCTGCCACAGCTACACTGACAGGTTAGCATGTCTCCTCTTTGATCTAAAGAAGCACCTTTTAATATGAGAACAACAAAAGTCCCTCAGAGCCCCGTATTCTTCCATCTACCTGTGCTGGAGGCTGCTTCAGATTGCTGGTAAACTGCAGTAGAAGAGGATGATGCAGGAGAACCAGTGGAAGCACTGGCAGACTCCTTTCCTTCCAGCTCAGCCACAGGCAAGAGTGGATTCTGGTTCAAATCCAGGTGAGTAGGGCTGGAAGGAATTCCATTCTCCAGCAGGAACTCATCCAGATCCATGTACTCCAGGTGAAAAGACTCGCCATCATAAGGAATAGTTTTGTCCCAAATGGGTGGCATAAGGGAAGCTGAGACTGCCATAGTGCTGGCAGCTGCTGCCTCATCTTCCTCAAGCTTTATCTTCTCCTTCTCTTTATCTGAAAAATACAAGTAGGTCACTGTACAAGCTGCAACACAGGAGAGACTCAAGGTTTACAAGTCTAACAAAATCCCCATGAAATGAAATTTAGTAAACTATAGTTCTGCCTCACGACATGATCTGATTTTTCAGATGTTGAAAGACAACGTTCATACACAACTCAGTATGGGATGCTCTGACCTCCCTGCAATGGCTGGACTGCTGACATTTGAGCAGCCTTGTTTGCTGTGATAACTTACCAAAGTGTGATATAATACAGCATCTAGCGTATTAACAAGTCACTGCAAAATGGCCTGTTTTTTCACAGGCTCATCTTGGAAGACAGTGGAAGTGAGTGTCCAGAAGTAGGATTCCATGGGAAGCCATTAAGAAAACTCCAAGGAGGCAGAGTAGTTTATTCTATGCACAAAGAAAGAAGGTGCAGAAGAATAATCTAAATACAAACAAGAAAGGAATATGGGTTTTCAGATTACATTTGAAAATTAGTCAAAAGGTCCGCAGGACGTGAGAGACACGGATGTCTTGTTCAGTATTTTAAAAGTATGTCTTTCTGAAATGACTCAGCATGTCCACACAAAGCAATAGCTCCAAATGCTGTTCACTATAGATAGCTCAGAGTACCTACACACAATTTGCACTCTTTGGGGAGATGTCTAATAAGGCATACTCCCACACCCCACCCGCAAGCCACAAGAGACTGATGAAATTTTATCCATTTACTGTGCTACAGTGCAGAGATTACAGACAAATGGCTGTTTCTATGTTTCCCATAGCTACTGAATCTTAACAATTGTCTGGGACAGAATCCAAGCAGAAAACTCAAGTTATGGAATTATTACATAATTTAAGAGATAAAAATAAGCTGGCAGAAAAGAAAAAAACAAAATCCAAATAATTTTCCTGATCCAGTTCTCCACGTAGCCATGCAGTTCTACCAGTACTAAAGGAGGCAGTGCAGAAGCAGTGCTAGCACTGCCAGTATTGAGGCAGCACTGCCATCAAAAGGAATGGGCACCAGTCGTATCTCAACCAACTGCAAATTGGGTCTTTTAATGGAAGCTGACAAATATTCAGTTCAATGGAGCAAGGACTCCAGGGTCATACACTGGACCAGTTTGGTTCTCCAGTATTTACATAGGTTAGCCCAACAAAATGCACAAATCTTTGGCATTAGGGTTTTCTAGACTGGCTACAATGTGCTAAAGGAGTATTTTTCTTTATCAGGGGTGGGAGTGAAACTCTGCTCTAATTCAGAAAAGCCTATTTATATAAAATCTATTCCGATAGAACTGGCATTTCTTCTGCTGTTGCTTTAGCTGGTGTGGAACTGAGACTGAAGGAGCTTTTTATGGCTTAAAGAACAGTACTGCCATGCAAAGTAAATTATCGTTTTACCCTACCATACTCTGAGCATTTTATACAAAAGAACATACCAATTTTAAACTGAACAGCTGAGAAAATATTCCCCAGCCACCGACTTGGGACTGAGAGGAAGTATGTAAAGAACATGTTAAATTCAGACCAACAGCTCCTGGATCTGAACTTTCTTAACATCACCTTGCAGCTTTTGGCCTTCCTCCTTGCCACTTCACGCTGCTGCCTCTGAACTGTCTTCTCCCAACTCCTAGCCCTGCTATAAACTCCTTTTTGCAAGGAGTTTTACAACTTTCCTACCCTTTACTTGGCCAAAGCAAATGGGCAGGTTAACAGTCATGATCCAAATAGCTTGAATGTTTCTGAACAGCTCCTACTTGAAGCTAGAAAAGAAACAGCATCTACTCTACTTCACACATAAAGGATGATTTCACTCACTACTGAAGCACACTCCACCAAACTGGAACCACCATTTTACACTCAACTTGTGAATCAGGGATTGTGTATTTCCATAAGGTTTGCATAGTGCCCAGCACAACCCAACCCAGATTTGCACTGAGGGTTGTGGATGACATCCTAGTAAAGGCATCACCAAAACAAATGCAAGCGACAATAATGAATTCTTTGTAAATCACTTTATTTTTTAATCAACATGATAGATCACTTGTGAATGTTGAGTCAAAATGTCAACTAAAAAGAAAAAAAATCATTCTTTACTCTTGAAAACAATAGTATTCCATTACAAGTTATGCCCATTTTAACACAAGCCAGCAGTGCTTTTGTTTTGCAACATCTCCAACAGAGGAGAACAGAAACCTTAAGTGATTAGTAGACTAATCATAAGGCTTAAAAACATTTTTCAGAAGGTAGATGCCAAAAAGACTCTACTGCTGGATATGTGGCTCTTCTCAGGTATTTTAATGCCTTTTAGATGTGCACTATAATCCTGCTGTACTTCAGTAACCTGAAAAGACCGTGGTCCCTCCAACTTCCTCTTGCTTTTGTCCCTGGCTCACACCAGATTAGATCCTTTCTTCACATAAGACCATCTGAAATTTTTTTCCTTTTGCTACAACTGGACAAGCACTGGGCCTCCAGTGTTGTCTTTCTTTAGCTACGCCATCTCTCTCTCTCTCTCCCCTCACTTCTAACAGCAGTATCTGAAGCAAGTTAAACCAGCAGAAGTTAACATGCATATTGGGTGCCCATGTATTTCAAATGTGATACGTAAAAAGATAAAAGTGTTGTATGATTATTTTTGCATTAACGTTCCCGTTGGCTTTCTTTCAATTCATTTAATCCTTATTTCTGCTGCACAACATCCTGCTGGGTGCACAATATCTAATGAAACACTAATTAACTTCTCGCATCTTGAGGGGTAAGTTTCCACCTGCCCCAGCACAGGGACCTGAAACTTTAATTCTCTGAAGATATTTATAGCGTAAACAGGTATTACCTGACAGCAGAGCTGCCGTATTCTAAGAGGCTCCATTTGCAGTGATTCAAGGTCACCCTGATAAATCTGGACTGTACTTCTGCAGCTGATAGCTCATGTTCAATTTAGCCCCCTCATTCTGCTACTGTGACCTATTAACTAGGCTGTACATCTGCTGTTAACAGAGAGCTTACTAGTTTATGCTAAGTAATTTAGGCAGAGCATTCCAGTTCTTGAACTGTTGGAAATGCTGCTGTTTTAGCCAAAAGCAGCACCCTCGAAAGAGCTTTATTCCACATCCTGGTTTTTCCTCAAAAAAACCCACCCAAAAACACAAAACCAAACCCAAACCAACAAACAAACCAAACCCACATCAAAAGACATTTTGGCCACAACTGTCAAGTGCTATCCCAGCCACAAACAACATAAACACTTCTTTGTCAAAGTTCCCCTCTTTCATCAAAAAATATTGTCAAATTATACCAAAAACACTATACAGACTGAGGCCAATTGCTCCACAAAATCTTTAGTCCCACTTGTGACAATGGAACAAGACAGGTTATAGGGCTCTGTATTCCCAATGCCCATTACTGTGATGTCTGTTGAGGCACTCCTCCAGCAGCACACAACTGGTGATTAAGGCATCCTTTGGAGAGCATGCAGCAGCTCATTATTAATAGAATAGACCTATACTCCTGCTCCGGCATATTAACTCTCTTCCCTTACCCCACAGGACTTTTTAAATACAAATATTATTAATTTTATTTATTTAATTCCTACAATGTACATGACATCAGCTTGCAGTGAGGCCGGTTGGATATACTTTGTATAAGGCAGGGCGTTCAAGATGATGGCATTCATTTGGAACTGGATGTCCTCTGTTGCTCAGAAGGATTAGAAAGCCTGCTTGCTTACTGGGTAGTCAAATTACCTACAGCAGTTGGAAAACCCATAGGTAGCTCATGGAGACTATAAATGGACACTGAAGCTAGCTGATACCGTTTCTCGCAGAATAAGACAGAAAATTGTATTTTTGTTAACAAGCATTCCAGACAAAAGGCATAGGGTCTTTCCTCAGAAAGCTAGCTGAAAACACACCAAGTAAATTAGTAAATTAAGTAAATTAGTAATTATTTAACATTTTGGCTGTGTTGCTATACTGTAAAGGAACAGAAAATAAACAAGGATCCTCTGAAGTCAGTTGAGTCACAATTCTACTCTCAAGTCTTTTGTAAAATTAGGAGTAGCTACCTGCTAACACAGAAGGCATTCTTTCTTTTGTCTTGGAAATACGCAAACAAGAAAAGCATCAGAGATCAAAATCAACAGAAAGCAACACGTTCCACAAAGTGTGAAGTGAAACAGTACAAGGTGGACTACAGGAATTTATGGAGCAATTTTAAGAATGAGAAGAATCTGAACTTCATCACAGCGTGAATGGAAAGGGATAATCAAGATGCAACGGACTCACTAGCAAGCTTTAGAGAATCAAGGTGAACACCTTCCCAAGCTGGAATGGGGTCATCTAGTAAAAGGATATCAAATAGTTCTAATTTTAGAAAAACGTACTACCTCAAAATCATATGAATTTTAAAGTGTTACATCTCCACAGGCCAGATCACGTGATTCTGGACAAAAAAACCACCCCTAAGACAAAGTCACCATATCCCAGTCAGCTACCATCATAGTTTCCACATGTGAACTTAAATTGCTCCTGCTGGCACTATCCCTTTCAAAAATGATTGGGTGAAGAAATATCTTAAGAAATCCCATAATGTTGTAGATTCAAGACTCTATGTACTGCAGCATCCCGCACCATAGCAACATAACTAAAACCTTTATCAGAGGTTGACTTTTTTTAACAAAAAGGAGAAAAAATATTTGCCAGAATCACAAGATAGATACATTTACACAGTATTGTGCAATGTTAGATATACAAAATAAATGGATCTTAACCAGGATCCTCAGTGGGAACAATCTTGCCAACCTTGCTTGCACTGTGGTCGACCCTGGATATTGTCTGATGCTTCAAAAATTATTCTCAACCTCAAAATTCCTAAACGTAAGGCCTTAATTTATTATACACTAGTACACTGAGCATTACAGCAGCACGGATAAACCTGAGCCTTCCTCAAAATCAAACTGATACTCAGAAAGGCAAAAATACTGCCAGTTGGGGAAAAAAAAAGTTAATAAAAAAAGTGCCATCAGCAATGAAG